TGTGATACAGTATTTTTTTAAAAAGGAGTACAAGGTAATTCTGTCCTGTTGTCTAATTTCCTGACTAGCATTTATGCTTGTTTTCAATGGGATATAGAACACCCATTGAATATATTCAGATATTCAGGACATCGAAGTAGTCAAGCCTCGACTTAATGAAAGTATGAATGAGGATCTTAGCAGCCTGGGGAGAGAAAGGAGCAATGTTTCAGAGGTGAGGTGAAAGCTGAGTGAGTAAGCTGTAGGGCTCCTTATATATTTAGCTGTACTGGTATTCCACTTTTGCTTCTGGACTCGGTGCTGTGTAAACATTGTTCCAGGACATTTCCATTCACTGCTTCAACTGGAGTGAGATTTTGTTAATCAATCAATCCTTGCTGATCCCAGGTGCACTCTGTAGCTCGTTTTCAACATGCTTACAATTGAAAGAAATTTGTTGCAAATAATCCATTTTACAGCATTAATAGAGGTAATTCTATTGCAGTCAGGTAAATGTTCACTATTAATTACATAATTCATTTTGTTCTTAATATATTTAGATAGAAAATATACATGGAGCATAAATATGGTTTACTTAATATGGGGATGAAAAGGCAGGATTATAGGCAGAATTCACTCCCCCCTATTATCTTCCAATCTGTAAAATATCTTTACAAGGTATTCTTCTGTCTCTACCATTTCAGTGTGACTATTTAATTTCCCTAAGTCTCATCAGCGGGTAGTTTGAATTGTGCAATCTTAAATATAATATGAAAATAAAATTAGTCATTCACTTCCTAGCTGTTTCTGGGACATTATTGTGCATAAATTGGCTGCTGCTTTTGCATACAAATACAGTTCACAGTTCTTCTTTTGGAACAAACTTTTGGTCATCTTTTCCCTCCCCATACCCACTCAGCATCCCAGCACGAGTGCCCATCCACCATTAACAAGTGCTTTGAGACAACCTCCTGAAATGAAAGATGCTGTATAACTGTAAACGGTATCGTATTGTAAAATCTAGTCGAGCACTTTAAGACGCCTCGCTGATGTGGTAAGGATCTATATCAAATGCAAGGATTATTTTATTAAAACTGTTAGCATTCATTTTTACACTATTATTAATTGCTTTTTCTTCTTTATTATGAAGTGAATCAGTCATTGGTTTTCTTGTCTTTGATCTTTCTCCATAATAATAACTCAGGTCAGACTTGACCATGGCAAATACAGTCTAATTTTCGATTAATAACTTTCAACTAACTTACTATATTTTAAGAGATTTGAGCTGCGTGAGTGCAAGGGTCTGCTAGGTGATAACTTTCTACTATTAGCTTCTAATTCTGAGAGTCTGAAGGAAGAAGAAAATAAGATCAGGTCATTCAGTCCATCAAGCCAGCTCCTAGGTGCTGTCCATAACTAGCTCTATCTTGGACTTTACACACCTGCTGCATTGAAAGTAACACAGACTTGCAAAACAACAGAGGCAGATTAAGTGATGTAGCTCAAAGTGGTGGATATGACGTAAGAATGAATTTATCTGCCTGCACCCTTAATCTTTTTGTTCATTTACCAGATGGGGAATATATTCTAAATGAGGAAGTACTGTGAGAAGGAATGGGGAGTAAATGAACAAAAAGATTAAGGATCCAGGCTCATAATTCATTTAAAGCTAGTTCACAGATGGAGAAAGCAGTCGAAAGAATTATTGGGATGCTGGGCTGCATATTAAGAGTTATATAATATGGAGGCTAGAGAATAAACCTGCGGTTATATAGAGCACTGGCTAATGCCTTATTTGGAGTCTTGCGATCTAGTTTGGGAATACCATGAGTTAACTCTGGGTTTACGCATTAGTAACTATCTCACTGTGATGATTTTTGCTGCAAGCCAGCAGTGTTTCAATCCCATTGTTGAAGAGCAGTTACATCTATGTTTATACTGTGCTGTTCTGCCCATTATACCTGAGAGAAAACTAGGCTAGTTATATAATGGTTACAAGCACTAGCTCAATGTGTTTTTGTATGGAGACACACTAACAGTTATATAACCATCACATGCAGCTAGAACTGTTCACAGGGCCAACACGCCAATTGCTACATCTTTGTTTGGAGGAGAAATCTGTGCATCGTATTTGGAATTGATATCATTATTTTATTAAAAATCTAAAAGACGTTTGAGGTACAACTGTATGTGTGGAGAACTAGTGCATTGCCATTACTTAGTACTGTAGAAGCTCAGATTTGATTAATTTCAGACAATTTTGTCAATCTCAAGCTAGTGTCATCAATACTAATCAAACTGCCATCATGCTGTGTTTTGATCATTATTTTGATGTTTCTAATCACCTCAATAATTCCCTGTTTGCCTCATAGGTGGAGTCCTGTAGCTCAGTGGTTAGAGCACTCGCTTTGCAAGTGAGAGACCTGAGTTCAATTCCAGGCAGGGCAAAACCTTGGGCAAGTTTCCTTACTCCACACGCCTAATAATAATCCCTCCAAAAACAATAATAAAAATTGGTCATTTTCAATCTACGACTGTTTGTGGGACATTGCTGTGCGCAATTGGCTGCCGCGTTCGCCCACAAATATACAGTCAATTCACTTTACAGTGTGTTCTGTGAAGCGCTTTGGGACGTCCTCCCGACGTGAAAAGCGCTATATCAAATGCAAGGATTATTATTATTATTATTATTATAGTCCTCAGGCAGCGGGCTCAAATGTAACAACAACCTACATGTATATTGTGCTCTTCAATGCAATATAACATCTGCCATGCTTCTCAAGATGGGGTTGGACTTGAGCAAGGTTAGATGGGATGAGGAGAGGCAGCAGGTGGCCTTAAGCACTGTTGAAGAGATAAGTTTAAAGACAGATGAAGAGGGGACAAGACAGAGAAGAGGAGGAGGGAGTTCCAGAGATTAAGGTTTTATCTGCTGAAGGTTCATCCACCAATGGTGGCCCAGAGAGCGCAGTGGATGTATAGAAACCTTAAGTAAGCCAAATAGAGGAGACAAGCAGAGGAAATGGGGTGGGTGAGGATCACAGAGGCAGGGAGGTGGTAGGGCATGAATGGGTTTATAGGTGTGGGTGAGGACATAGTGCAAGGCATTATTTACGCTCCCATTTCACAAAGAGTGCTTTTCTTACTTGTGGCTAGTATAACCTATCAGTTCTTTATCTTTGTACCTTGTTTCTGTTTAAATACCCAGAAAACAAACCATGCAAATAATCTTCCAAGGGGAAATGAGCTATAAGCTGCTCAACAGTTTTAGGTTTTATTATTTTTGTTCAGTCAAAGTAATTTGGTTGTAAGAGTAGTTTAAGGTCGGACAGTGCTATCACAGGAGGTTAATAATGAACAATTCACAGCGGAGATAAGCACTACTTATCCAAACCTTTATTCACATTTCATTTCCGTCTTTTGATGGTACTATCTGTGAAAACACGCTATTAGTCTCATCAGTATTTTGGAATCATACGAGTGATAGAAATGGGATATTATGGATGGAGCAGTGATTGGGGTTGCAAGGAAATATGAGAGAAATAACTTACATTTTCATCACACTTCATCATCTTAAAATATTTCAAAGAGCTTCACAGGTAATTACTACACTGGGAATGTCGATTTGAACTGTGAGCTCATGTTTCTGCCATCAAGCTCGGGACCATAACCCTCCAATGTACCTTTTTGAGGAAGTGATTTCTCAAATTTATTCTAGGAAGCCATATGATAAAATGTCCTTTGATATTTTTTAATTGAATTGACCTTTTCCAATGTGAAGGGCAATTTTCCATGCTGCTTTCCCAACACGTGCTTTATCACCCATGATGACTAAATAAAGGCATTTGATAAAGTACCACATGAGAGACTCCACCACAAACTGAGATTCAAGGCAAAAAAAACTTTGGATATTACGAAATCAATTCAGCTCCCTAGAAGGTATACTGAAGCTGTAAAATGATCTGGTCAGGCTGTACCTAAGGTACTGGGTATAGTTCTGGTTGCGCAACATCTAGAGCTTACCCAGGCAGTACAGAGAAGATCAACAAAGGTGAACCCCAGTGATAAGCGAATGAGCCATGAGAAAAAATTAGGCTCTTTAGTCTTGTAAAGAGACATAATATAGAGGGAACTATATAACTGCATATAAGTTTATGAATGGGATTGAGAAAAGAAACTCAGAACAATACCTTTGGACAGAGGAACAAAAGGGCACAGGTTTAGGGTTGCAAAGGCCAATCTCACGACAGATACCAGGAAGATTTTCTTTCCCCAGAGGGTAATAATGAATGGCACTGGATGCTTGAAAGGGTGTTTGAGGCCAGTACACTGGACTTGTTTTAAAAAATGCTTGATGCTTTGATGTAAAGATGGTAGGCAGGGTATTCTGGAGATCAAATGGGCTGAAGGGTCTTCTTCATCTGAACCAATCTTGTGATGCAGAGGCAAGAATGCTATCACTGAGTTAAATTCACATAAGCAGCAATGATTGGTGATGTAATGACATACTAAAGGGGTATTATTTGTAAGCTATTATACAGTGAAATCTGAACCAGTGAAATGACTCTAAAGTTAGCAGCTATTAAATGCAAAGCTAATGCTTTATTTCTGTTTCATTTTCCCTGCATGCTCATAATTATTTTCATTGGTCGTTAAAAATATATAGGATCCTCAGGCAAATTGTTCTAAAGTGGAGTATGCTATTAACCTGAGAAGAAAGGAAATTGAGGTGAATCTATGTAAAATTCAGTCACCCAACAGCAGTTTAGATTTAACCTGAGATCATAATGAAACAATAACCTGAAAATATAATGGGGATTTCTGTTCACTTCCAAGAGAATTTATCCAGAATATTTACAAAAGTTCAACAGAACAGAAATGAAAATTCCTACTGTAGCTGCAAACCAGCTATGGTTCAATGTTGAAATTACACCAAAATTGCAAAATAAGAGATGAGAAAGAAGTTCTCAGGAGTATTCCATAAGCATTATATTAACTTTATTTATATTTTGTTTCAACAGGAGCTGCAAAGAATCGATTGTCCTGACTGTTGTTCAGCCATACCCTGTGAGTATGAAGAACCTAATACTGCATGTTATTATTCAGAATATTTTCCATTATGAACCATAGAAATTTGCAGCACAGAAAAAGGCCAATCGGTCCATTGTGTGTTGGGTCTTTTAAAGAGCAATCCTTTCAGTCCCATTTATCCCCATAGCCCAGATACAAAGCCAGTCTCACACAGACACAAAGCCATTCTCACACACACAAGGACTGTCCTTTTTAGCTATCTACCTAGATATCTATGAAGTGTCACGGTTTTAGATTCCTGGACAGGGCATATAACTTCTGAACATCGATGAGCAATTCTGATCTTTCAAATTTTTCTTTTCCCTTTGCCTCAGCCATATATACAGTATGTACCATTTAGTGATCTTGGCAATTAAGTTTTAAGTTCAATCTCTTAGTTGTAGATCTCTGAAATAATGCTTTACACAGAAGACTAGATGAGGCCAGGGTGCTGGCCTTAAAAGCAGCTTAATGCTGTAATGGAAAGACAGGAAGTTGGGTTTTCTGGAAGTGGAAGATCAACTGGCTCCTCTTCATCCAAACCAATCTTATGTTCTTGTGGGTTTGGGTTGGACAGAATATTCTTAAGAACTCTACTCCTCAGGTCCCACGACCCTCATAGCCTGTTACTGTTCCATCTATTTTTTTATCCTTTATTCATTGTACCCACAGGAAATTGCGTGCATGAGGTGTGAATGAGTAAGACTGTGCTTGTGTCTGTGAGACTGGCTTATGTCTGTAAAACATTATTCTTGGTCTGAATGGGACCAAGAACAATGTGTGAGACTGCCTCATGTCCTTGTGTCTGTGTGAAATGCAGTCCTTGTATCTGTGTGAGAATGGCTTTGTGTCTGTGTGAGACTGGCTTTGTATTTGGGACATTGTCATTTGGTCAGTTTACAAACCAGTGATTGATTGGCCTGAGCCAGCAGATGGAGCTCTTCATGATAGTGATCAGGCTTCTCAGATCAGTAAAAAGCATCCCAAATTCTGAGAGGACACAGATATCTTAATAAAGTAACCTGTAGCTCAAGTCAGTAAAGAAAAAATGAGCAAACTGCTCCTAGTAATACTGCTGGTATGCCACCATCAGTCATACCACTTCTGAACTGATGGACAAGCATATAGTCTAACATATATTGTAGGGTTTTACAACAGTATAAATTTCATTATTTTTCTCCTCAATTACCCCGCTAAATTTTAGAAGGCGGGTAAGGTCATCAACTTCCTGGCCTCTCCATTTCTGAAGGGAACAGGGCAATAGGGAACTCACTTCAAGGAATATAGCATGGGAACACAGCTCCAGGACTAGACAATATGGGAGTGTAGTTCCCACAGATCAGCAGGGCGTACTTATGCTCACTCTATTATGTGTGCCTGAGGAATCACTGTGGAGTAGTTATTAATGATTCTCATTACAAATCACAACAGTTTAAACCCCAATATCCCTGATGCAGACCCAACACACAAGTGTGCCATTTTATTCTTTTACTCTGCTGTCAGTTAGCATTTAACCCTCGGCAGAGCAAAGCTGTCATAGGTACAAGTAACCATCTGCTGTGCAGATTAATTTTATTGTTCGGACAGTTTGCACTAAATCATGCCGTTCTGTGTCACCTTAATTGACACAGTTGACACGCAGGAAATAATTCTGACTATTAATGTAACATAGAAAGAAGTCCATTATAATGCGATTTACTGCACATAACCCAATCAGGGTTATAAATCTGTCTGCAGCCTATCCGCATGGGTTTCTGAAGATGTTCGATCACTCAAAGCCTCAAAGAGCAAGAATGAATCTTAAGCTGTTTTGTTTCGTTTACAAATACAGTTTATTTTTAAATTTATTCGTGAAACGTTTTTAGGATAACAACAACAAAATTACATTTATAGAGCGCCTTTCACGTCGGGAGGACGTCCCAAAGTGCTGAACAGTCAGGTGTCGGGGCCCGAACATGGGGGAGGGGTGGTGTAGGGGTGAGGGAAGGCAGAGAGGTGGGAGGGAGACCAAAGGCACGGTCGAAGAGAAGGGTCTTGAGACCGGCCTTGAAGGAGGCGAGGGAGGAAGTGAGGCGAAGGAACCGTGGGATGGAGTTCCAGAGTGTGGGGGCAGAGAGGCTGAAAGCCCGGCCACCAATGGTAGGGTGGGTTGGGCGGGAGACATGGAGCAGGCCGGAGCCCGCTTAACAGAGGGAGCGGGCAGGTTGGTAGAGAGTCAGCAGGTCAGAGGGGTAAGAGAGGGAAAGGCCATGGATGGCCTCGAAAGTGAGGACAAGGATCTTAAACTCGATCCACTGGGGGGATTGCGCACAGCAGTGAAGTCGGGCAAGGGTGGAAGTGATGGGGTCGTGGAGCCTGGTGCTATAATAAGACTATAATAAGGAATCCATACTTATCCATCCGACTATAAATCGTAAGAATATTTTTTTCCACTCTAATCGTTCTTTTCATTGAGCGTTTGGAATTAATAACTGGGGTGATATAGGGCGAGGGACTTTCTATTAATCTGGGCTATGTTTTAGCAAGTACTCAGGGGATCTGTAAAGGAAAGACGAAAGCCTCATGGACAGTCTGTCAGCCAATTCTAAACACGCCAATCCCATCACCACCAATTACACAGAGAAAATGCGATCTGATTCCTTCTCCTTGCATTACTCCAATGTGTATCCATCTCTAGATGAAACCAGAGGTCTACTGGACAGCCAGGTTTTTGGAGAAGTTAGGGGGTAAATACATGCCCATCGCTCATTCCTTGCACTTACCTTTAACTTTTATGAAAAAAAACTAATTTAGTATATCATAGAATCATAAAATGTGCAGCAAAGAAAACCCTTTGGCCTGTTGTGTCTGCTCTTGCTCTTTTAAAAGCAATTCTTTGTATTCCCGTTTACCTGTCCTTTCCCCCATTTCTCTGCAGTTTACTCTTTTTCTAGGTATTTAACAAGTATTAACTAATAATCCCTCCAAAACAAAACAATAATAAAATTGGTCATTTTCAATCCACGACTGTTTGTGGAACACTGCTGTGCGCAATTGGCTGCCACGTTTCGCCCACAAGTACATGGTCAATTCACTTTACAGCATATTCTGTGAAGCACTTCGAGACGTGAAAAGCGCTATGTCAAATGCAAGGATTATTATTATTATTATAGTTCCTTTTTGAAGACTAATGTGGATTCTGCATTTTGTAGATGAACACAACAGCCTATTTGCATGCAGCATTGTCTCACAAACAGCAGAGAAGCAAATGACCAGTTTGCAACCCTCAAAATGCAGCTGCACTATAAGTAATAACTACCCTTGATAGTGGTTTTAGTTTTCCTGACAGGTGGCTCTTGAGGGGCTTTGTGCTGTCCTTCTTCAACTGAGACACTTGAAATACACCTTGAGAGATAATTTCTTAGAAATGCATTAACAATGCCTGCTGCTGAACCAAGTGAAGGCAATGTGAACAGCCATGGACATGGGTCATGCCTCAATACAATGTGCACCTCATCATTTGCAATGTGATAGTTTTAATTGGTAGGTTAGTCCCAGTGCAGGAGTGTATATCTGGCAAAGCCCCCATTTTTGTGTCTTGCCTATTTATCACTCTGTACATGTATGTCATAATTAGCAACGTAATAGCAGTAGGAGGTCATTAATTCCCTTGAGCCTGGTCCACTGGTTTATCAGATCATGTCAGATCTTTCTTCGCACTTACCCACCATTTTTCCATATCTCTTAATACTGTTAATTCTCATAGTGTCTATCTATCTATCTATCTATCTATCTATCTATCTATCTATCTATCTATCTATCTATCTATCTATCTATCTCCCTTTAAAACATTCCAACCGATCCTGCGTTTGTGACTTTTGTAATAGATGCTGGACATAAAAATTTTGCTCTGAGTTTTTCCTTTTTTTAAAAAAAATGTAGTCATTGTTGGAATCCCACGAATAATCTATTTTCTGCTCATGGGATTCAAATCGATTCACTCAAAGTCAGTATCCCTGCTTGGCCATTGCAGACAGCAAGCACGGTGAGGTGGCGGTATTTCCTGAACCGTGCTTTTTCATATTATTGTCCAAAGCTTTTAATAAACATTTAATTTTAGAATAAGAGATCCACTTTCTTGTGAAAGCTAAGGTATAAAAGAAGTGTTGCAAAATTACTGCAGTGTCCAAGAGAGCGGTAAAACGACGGAAGCAGTTTCCCCAGTGAGTTGTGACCAAAGCCATGCACGCAGATCAGCGGGGTGCTGAAACATGGTTGTACTATTTCCTGAAGCTTGTAGTTTTTAATCTTAAGCTTATAGACCTTAGGGTTAAAGCTTATAGGACTTTATCTGTGCGCTAAAGTTTATAGACCTCAAAGTTAATCTGTAAGCGAATCCTTACAGACCTTGCAGTTGTTCTGCTAACTGAAACTCAGAAGTATTCTGCTTATTGAAACTCATTGACCTCAGTTAATCTGTTTCCCGCTGCTCGCTAAACACATGGTTATTCCACTTATTGAAACTTACAGACACTTGAATTACTGTTTAGGGAAGCACGTGGCACCTTTTTTTTTGGTCGTGCAATAAAATGTAATTCTCAATTTTTTTGTGAATTCAAGGTCTTGTTTTAACCATTTTCTGGTTACAAATATTAGAGTGTAGCAACATGTTTTCAATTAACCATGTATTGAGCCTTCATCTCTGATACAGTGTATGATAACCTTGGACTAGCAGAGAAACTGAGCCCTTGGTCTGCATAAAGTGAGGTTTAAATTCTGTGAGGAAGATACCTCAATTAAATGCAAACTAAAGTTGAATTCATTAATATTTTGTACAAGATGTGATACAATATCCATTTATCAGCACCTATGTTTTCAAATATTGATCATAACATAATTCATGGAGATCTCAAATTTAAATTGCAGGAAGCTAACACTTGTGTTGGTTTGGGTTTGCTGACAGCACTTTTCCATCTGGGAAGGTAAAGGAATGGAAAAGGAATTTAGAGAGTTTACGTAAATAATTTATGTAAAAAAAATACATTTCTGTGTTGATAGTATTCCCAAAATAATAAAGCTTAAAAATGGCTGCAATTTCATGTTTAGCCAAAATGCTTTGTATTTCTCAGAGGGTATGCAGCTAGGCTCATACAATTTTGAGCACTCAGGCAGATTAATGGCACAATCTTTAATATTGTCATTACCTGTTCCAGTCTCCCAAGTCAGCCTTTATCAGCGCTGCCAAGAAGGCAAGATTGAAGTCCAATCCTGTGAAGGTTCGTTTTTCTGAAGAGGTTATCATCAATGGCCAGGTTCCGGTAAGTAGATTCAAACACAATGTATTACGTGCCTTGGTAATAGATAGTTTGAACAAACAGCTCAACGGCCCAGTAAGAGGTTCATTTGTTTTGCATCATTCAAGCAGTGGGTGACTCTAAAATCGCAAGGTATGACATACATATAACTGGGGTCAGGAGGAGCCCCTCATCAGGACTTAATTTGCGTAGTCTAAGCTGACATTCCAATGCAGTGCTGGGGGTGTGTTGCATTGTCAGAAGTGCCGTCTTTCAGATGAGACATTAAACCGAGGTCCCGTCTGCCTGTTCAGGTGGACGTTAAAGCTCCCATGCCACTATTCAAAAAAAGAAGGGAGTTTCTCCCGGTGTGCTGGCCAACAAATCCCCCAAATAAAACTGGTCACTCACTTCATGGCTGTTTGTGGAACGTTGCTATGTTCAATTGAGCTGATTCATTTGCCTTCAATTACAGTCACTCCATTTCACAATAAATCCTGTGAAGCGCTTTGAGACATCTACACCAAATGCAAGGATTATTATTGTAATACATCAAAACTGCTTTTATGACTAAGTGCTATTCTGCTCTATTTGGCAAGTGTAACAGATTTATCGCTGTGCATTGATATGTAATTTTAAATTCCATGATATTAGAAACATGAAATTAGATTAGATTTTAAAATTGTATTCTCTGTAGAGCTTTGGTTCCATAGAAACCTGAAGCAATATCGCTTAATGGTCATGGCCAACAATCCCCCAAATAATATTGGACACTCACTCCATGGCTGTTTGTAGGATATTACTGTGTACAAATTGGCTGCCACATTCACCCACGAAATGCACACAATCACACCACTTTCCAGTATATCCTTTAACATGTTGAGACATCTCAGTGACATGATAAGGCACTATATCAAATGCACGGTTTACTATCATGTTGAAACCCAAACCTTTAATATGTCCTTCAATGTAAGCCCACTGAATAACTTCCACACAAAATACAACTATTACATTGGAGTTGCAATTGGGCCAACAATTGTGGTGTCCTGTAGCTCACTGGTTAGAGCACTCGCTTTGCAAGTGAGAGACCTGAGTTCAATTCCAGGCAGAGCGAAACCTTGGGCAAGTTTCCTTACTCCACACGCCTAATAATAATCCCTCCAAAAAACAAAAACAATAATAAATTGGTCATTTTCAATCTACGACTGTTTGTGGGACATTGCTGTGCGCAATTGGCTGCCGCGTTCGCCCACAAATATACAGTCAATTCACTTTACAGTATATTCTGTGAAGCGCTTTGGGACGTCCTCCCGACGTGAAAAGCGCTGTATCAAATGCAAGGATTATTATTATTAACAATTTTGGAATTCCTAGTAAACTAAAAATACAAAGGGCAAAATAACCCCCCTTTGGGACCAAAACCCTCCTATAAGTTGTGAGGCAGAAAGACGTCTGAGCCAGTGGTGGGATTCAGAAGCAAAGCAGAGATATCTCCACTCTGTGTATGTGAAACATTTAGAGCAAAGCCAAATGTTGACTGAGTGTTCCCATCAATGCTGCATCTGGAAAGTGAGGCAGTAAACTGCACTAATCCACTGAATTCATTTATTAAAGTCTCTTTACGGCACATAGCTTCGAAATAGCACTGAATCACCTGGTAACTTGAGACAATATTATTAATGAATCTGATAAGTTCCTTGATTCCAAGGAGCCAAGAAAAAGTAGGAAAAATGAATAGGGTAGGTTTTGAAAAGAGACAACAACTATTAAAAGCCCTCTTGATGCTGAAGAGAAATACTTTTTCTCCATCGGCATTAATAGGTTTATTTAATTCTTCAAGGACAGAGCTTCAGTTTTGCATAAATTCTGTCAAGAATGGATCGCTCAAAAATGAAGCTTTCTAGCAGTTTCTAATGGATTGATAGCATTACTGTAACATTAGGAACATATCACACCCAATGCAGCCGAAACCCTCGTCCACGCCTTTGTTACCTCCCGTCTTGACTATTCAATTGTTGGTCTCCCAGCTCCACAAGACACAGAATTCAATTGCTCCAAAGCTCCACAGCCTATGTACTAATCCATTCTAATCTCCTCACCCCCATCACACCAGTCCTCACTAGGCTCCACTGGTTCTGTATCACAGAATGGATCGACTTCAAGATCCTCTCACTCTCAGAAATCCCCTCATGTCCTGGCACCTCCCTACCCCTCCGACTTGGTTATTCCCGACTCCACTTGGCTAGTTCCAGATGCATATCCTTTGTACCCTCCTTCGGCGGCCGTGCTTTCAGCCACTACGCCCCAAAACTCTGGAACTCTCTCTAAGCCCCTTGCCCACTCCTTCCCCATTTTCAGATTACGCATTAAGACCTTTCTCTTTGACCGTGCCTAGTCACTTCCCCCTTCCCTTTGGTTTGGCGTCAGGCTCCACCACATGTAAGCACTCCGAGACACTACCCTGCGTGAGGGGCACTGTATAAATACAATTTGTTGTTGTATTAAAGCTCAATATACCATCCTTGAGTAAGCTTTAATGTGTCTGTTCTATATTCTCACAGGACATGATCAAAGACAACTCACTGCTGTTCATGCCGAATGTACTGAAAGTTTATCTTGAGAATGGACAGACTAAATCTTTCCGATTTGATAGTAGTACAACAATGAAGGTAGGTGGAATATACACTAAACACAAGCTCTGTGTATTTGGTCAGAGTGGATGCCTGTTTTCTGTTTGATCCTGATCATCTAAAGGATTCAGTTGGTAAGCTTTTTTTTTAACTCCACAGTGGGATTTGGTGGAGATTTAAATATCAGGGGTCGGAAACATTGACCTGTAAAATTTCCACTGCTGAGTTAACCCAATAAGTCAAAGGGCATGATGGGCCAAATGGCCTTCTTCTGTCTGTAAATGTCTATGGCTCTAAGGACTGGCATATCAAGTTGTCAACTTGAGAATTATAAAGTTGGTATGGTTAATTCTGCTCTTTTCAGGAAATTGGGTGAATTAATTTGTGTGTGCTGGGCTACTATGGAATGCTGCTTTTACATTGTGATTTTGCTTCCTGAGGCAAGCCTATCTCACCAGTTGACCTATTGTGAGAAACACACCTGTTTTATCTGGTGCCAAGTTTGGAAAAATTCTATTCGGAGTTGGATCCCCTGGTTGGATCCACATAGAGATCCAATTCAGTAATGAAAAGAGTCAGGCCTGCAGCAGCCTGACCCAATAGAACTCCACACTTGGATAAATGTCAAACATCATTGCATGGCTTGTGCAGTGACATTCAACATTTGCACATGCGGAAAAGGTCATCAGAAATCAATTTTCTGTAATCCCTAGTTCCCAAGTAATGTTGGTGGAACTAAGATAAAAACTAGGAGTTATTCAAGCACATCTCCTGGCCTTTACTACAGTTACACATTAAAAACATAAGAGTTTCACCATTTGGCTACTCCAGGAAACCATATATTTACAAAACATCATCTCGCCACCATTATCCTCAAGATATGCAGGGACATTAAAGTGGCAGAGGTACGGAATACACCATTTATGTTTCTACTGTGAAAGTGAGTTTTATTCATAATTCAATTCAATTCACCAAGTATTTTGTTCAGTTCTTTTCTGCGCATCACAAAGTTGTCATTGGTTAGAAACAAAATACTTCTCAACTTTTGTCACTTGGTATTTGCATTAAGCCCTCCTGGAAAAGGTGTAGCATGGTCAGATATGGAGCTCTGCTCTTTCTACTGTAGTTCAGAAATGTATTAGGGCAGCACAACAAGAGATATAGAATCAGTGTTACGAAGGGCAATATTAGGAAAGATACCAAGAATTATTTCCTTATTCAGAAAGTAAACAATAGCTGGTACTGGCTACCAGGAAGTGTGGCTAAGTACACTAATAGGAAGTTGGTGAGTTTAGTTTTGTGGATGAGATTAAATGGGCTTAGTGTCCTTGTCACATTGGTTTACCTTAGGAACACTCTGCCTCATTCCGTCCACCTTGCCCTCTCTTTGCTTGTCGTGGCATCGCACCTGAAGGCTTTCCTCGTTGACTGGGCCTACGCTCACCTCCCCTTTCTCTTTGGTTTGGCGTGAAACTCTACTATTGAAATGAGACATTAACTTGCGTGAAAGGGTGCTATGTAAGCGCAAATGGTTGTTGTTCAGTTTTTATTCGCCACCGTTATCCTCCAGATGTGCAGGGACGTTAAAGTGGCAGAGGTACAGGATACACCATTTATGAATGATAACGGGTGATCCAAACTCACAGAAACATAGCCATTCAGATCCTCAGAGCACAGTATAATGAGCTCAGGATTGATCGATTATACTCTTCCCAGCACATAATTGCAGTTAGTGCAAATATTAACATCTTAAACTTCACAAAAGAGTGTTTGGAAACGTTCCTTATTTTTAACAGACACACAACCTGATCAAATCAGTTCAAAATAGATCATGTGGGTCTTTTCCCACCTGAAAGTAAACCCCTTAAAAATATTTTTTTCATGAAATAATAGTGAGTACTTCTTTAAAATATGCTCTTTTCCAAGCATTTTTCGGGAGCTGCTTTCTTTGCTAACGCCCACTGATTTTAAAATAATTATAGTGGGGGTGGAGGGGAGAAGGAATGCAGCATTAAAGGACTGGAACATCAAAGAATAAATGTGGGCTGCCAGAAACTGAAATATCACATAGTATTATGGTAAATATTTTGTTGGATCCGCTGAATAATTCTTTTGAAGTTAGGATATCCATAGAATCCACCTCGGATATTGAATACACCCAATGTCTACGGGAACATTCAAACATACAGGATCGGGAAAAAACACACTGGTGTATCTGTCTGTTCCCCAAATCAAAGTGGAGGGTGAGAACGCGACAAGTGATACTACAATTTTCACATGTAATAATTAATCAGATCGTCCTGTACTATTCAGCATTTCAAACTCTTCAATTGATTTCTTCGCTCATTAACTAGTTCTCTCTTGAATTGATTAACATAATCTGCCTCCACCATGTTGCAAGCATCTCAGCAGGTAAATCAGAAGACTAGAGATGATATATCTTGTGCTTTTGATAGTGAAGCTTTATGAATGCAGGGTTCCTCAAAACAAAATGATATACAAACCTGTCTATAGATGTGGTTAGTACATGATATCTTCATAACGGAGAACTTTGTTCATTGATACTTCATCGTATGTTAGTAAGAAGGATGGAAGGTATTTCTCTGTTCAAGACGGGCAGCAATCCTTCCACTCCAGTAAACCAAAGTTGTAAATTACCTTTGAAAGTACTCAAATCCCTCCATTCCTCCGCACCCCCCTACCTCTCTGACCTCCTCTGTCCTCAAAACAGTGCCGGTCGCCTTTGTTCCTCCAGATCTGGCCTCCTCCTTCTCCCCCGACTCCTCCGCTCCACCCTCGGCGGCCATGCCTTCAGCCACTATGCCCCGAGGCTCTGGAACTCCCTTCCTCACTCCCTTCACCTCGCCCCTTCTTCTCTTCCTACTTTCAGGTCTCTGCTGAAGACCTTTCTTTTCGACCGCGCCTTTGGTCATCTTCCTCCCCCTCCCCCTGGCTCGGCCCCGGGATCCGTTACTGTGAAGCGCTCTGAGATACCGTCCGGCGTGGAGGGCGCTTTATAAATCCAAATTGTTGTTGTTGTTGAGTTAAAATGCTGCAGTAACTATGCTCTAAGGCAGCCAGTGCATTAAATATGACAAATGCAATTGATGGAACACATGAAAAACATCCCGATGGAACTTTAGCTATTTAAAATTACATTGAATAGTTTTTTTTCTAAGCAAAGAGTGGTGACAAACTTCCAGAATGATACATCTGCAAACATCCTTGACTGCAAGCTAAATGAGCCAATGCTTTAGTATGACTTCCATTGTACCTGATGTACAACACAACTCTGTTCATCTTTTCATGCACAGCTAGTACCTTGAACTAGAGCATTAACTCATTGTCGTCATATTGCCATACACTGTCAAGCAGCATATCTAATCCAATGCTTTATATTACTTAGGGCCAATGTGTAATTTGTACCATCAACAGCGAACAAGATCTGTTTATTGTCATTTCATGTGATATCAATGTTTGAAGTGTCTTAAATGTAACAATGGTCATAGAATCATGTTTGCAAATTAACAATGTGGGGTGAAAATTAAGATGTGATGATGGAAGTGATCTGATGATAATTATCACACTGACTGATCTCTAGTTAATGGAATACTAGCTTACTAACGAAACATCTGTCAAGCTGGCACCCCACCGACCACAACTCTAATGCATGTTATGGCCAGTTTCTGCCCACAACCATTAGAAAAGAATTTTGGGGCGATGGATGTGAAAACCATCATCAGGTTGCTTTTTTAATGTATGTGGTTAGCAGCATAGGTCTTAATTAACACTTTCACATATCGCTATTTTTTTACCCCAAGGGATTTCCTCACCCCTCTCCTCTGATGTTCTGTCCTTAATAATAATAATCCTTGTGTTTGATATAGTGCCTTATCACATCTTCGAGACGTCTCAAAGCGCTTCACAGAATATACTGCAAAGTGAATTGACTATATATCTCCTTGCCCAATCTCTCCTTAAACCCATACAAATGCACTTCCAGAACGAATCACTGGATGTCAACCAGCTAAATGCACCTCAAACTGGAGTTCTGGATTGTGACTTTGAGCTGCTGGTTTGCGGGATTTGGGATTTATTTTTATTTTTCCACTGTTGCCTTGAGCAGGGAGGCTAACTGAGCGCACAGCAGAGGCTTCTTCCTCTAACATTACTGAATACTACACAAAGAGGTGCGTATACACATTGAGATACTAGATTACAAGTCCCATTTTATTTTTTATATGTTGGAATTTCTACACCTTCAGTCAATATTTCCTGATATTTCGTCAATATCAGGAAATGTTATACTTTTCTACTTTTTAAAATACAAAAGGCATCCCCATGATGTAGAAGAGGTACCTCAAGTATGGAAAGTGCACACCAACTCTCCCAGGATCACTTTCTATTTCATACAAGAGTTCTGAGAGACTATTCTTTTCAAATAGTATCATGGGATCTTTAACATCCACCAGAACAGGCATCTTTTCATCCGAAGGACGACCTCCGACAATGTAATACACCTCCACCATAGCGTTGGAGTGTCATCTTGGATTACGTGATTCCTTGTCCCGAATTGGGGCTTGAATACACAATCTTCTGATTCAGAGACAAGACACTGAGCCGGGCTGCCTGACACACAAGACCATTAATTATTTTATAGAATTCCAATGACATTTTACAGATCGGAAACTTTTCTATTTACAAAATAAATGGATATAGTTGAATTTTGGTGAGGTGAGAATAAATGTTCCTCTTTAGGAATTGTATTATTCAGTCACATTCAGCTCGCAAATAGGGAGAAAACCTTGTCTATCAATTATAGTCATTGGGAACATTTTGCTCAGTTATAATTCCCAGCGATTTCTACAAGCTATCTAGCTTTCCCTTAAATACATCTATGCTATTTGCCTTGACAACTCCTTGTTCCACATTCTCACTACTCTCTGTGTGAAGAAAAAAATATTCTAACTTCCCTGGTGGATCTATTTGTGACTGTTTTATACTGATGACCCCTGGTTTTGATCTCCCCCACAAGTGGAAACATCTTCCCTATGTCTGTTCTTTCAAAACCTTTCATCATTTTAAAGACCTCTATCAGGTCACTCCTTTCCCTCTTTTCAAGAGAAGAGTCCAAGTATATTCAGCCTTTCCTGATAGGTATAACCTCTCAGTTCTGGGATCGTCCTTGTGAATCTTCTTTGCACCCTCTCCAGTCCCTCTACATCCCTTCTATAATGTGAGGACCAGAACTGCACACAGTATTCCAAGTGTGGTCTAACCGAGGTTCTATAGAAGTTTACCATAACTTCCCTGATTTTCATTTCTATCCCTCTAGAAATGAACCCGAATGCCTGGTTTGCTTTTTTATGGCTTTATAAACCTGCTTTGCTACTTTTAGTGAATTGTGCATGTGGACCCCTAGATCCCTTTGCTCCTGCACCCCATTTAAGTTTTTATCTTCCAGTTGGTAGCACTCTCACCTCTGAATCAGTTCGCTATCAAGTCTCACGCTGGGAGTTTGAACTCACAGTCGAGGCTGACACTCCAGTGTAATGCTGGGGAGCCTTACATTGTTAGAAGTGCTGTTCATCAGATGAGACATTAATCGAGACAACAACTTGCATTTATAAAGCTGACATTGTGGCCAGCAATCCTCCATATGAAATAGTTCATTCATTGCTGTCTGTGGGACATTGCTGTGTAAATTGGCTGCTGCGTTTGTCTGCAAATACTCAATCAATACTTCACAGAAACACTCTGAGACATCTTGACGATGTGCTATATCAAATGCAAGGATTATTATATTATCATGAAATGTCTTGAGCCAAGTCATCTTATCAAGTATATGTGGGTGTTTTTTCATAACATGAGACCATCTATTGAATTCCCTTTTTAAATAATTTATGAATCTTTTCTTCTAGGATTCATATTAGAGTATTCCACATTCTATGATGTTACCTGTAGAATTGTGTACCAAGTTAGGAAATTGTATGACTAATTAATCAATGGTTTAAGATGAAACCCATGCTGGTTTGTTTTTATCCCATTGGTTCCATTTGACAGCTGAATAATATATGTTGGCCTGCATTAGTTTGCTCAGGGTTTCATTATACTTTAACAAATGGTACAAGCTGGAACAAAAAAAAGGCAAAGTGATTTTGTTCCCAATTGTCTTGAATTTCTTTTTGTTCATTTTGAAAAGTAGGACAAAACCCTTCACACCCCTGAGAGCAGCTTCCACTAGACGCATTGTTACATTTCCCTGCCATGGTCTTTGATTCTCAGCTAAGAGGCTATATCATGAATTTATAACAATTTATAATAGTCTCCTTTCATTTGATATAGCACCTTTCAGATCAAGAGGACGTTTCAAAACATTTGACTCTGGGGCCTACAAAATACAAAATGCTTACTTCAAATTCAAAAGAAATAGTCCCTCCTGGGATCCAAAAGGACACTTGTCTGATGGTGTGTGTTTCCACCTAGTGGTCACAGCTGACCCCAACCATAGTAAAAGGAAACTTCAAATGTTTACCACAATATTGGTTCAAAAATGTGAACAGGATTGTACATTTTTCTTGGAACGTTGGGATTCTAGAGTAAAATTCACAGTGTAGATACAAATCAACTCTACAAATTAGTTGATGTTAAAAAGCCATCCCAGTGGCTCGTGTACAATAAACAATACCTGGTTTAAAATCCAACACTGCATAACACTGAATCAGTTCTGAAGTTCAACCAATAGCCTCTAAACCTATCTTTAAGTGCAATTCCAAAATGACCAACATACCCTGCCCTTGTGATAATTAGTGCATCACATACTGTAAGTTTCCCTCGTTTTATACCAGCAAAGGATAATGCATTTGTTTGGAGGATTGCTAGGAATCACTTGGTCACAATGGCAAGTTATGCAGTTTCGCCCACAAAGTACACAGTCAATCCACTTTACAGTATATTCTATGAAATGCTTTGAGATGTCTCAACGATATGATAAGACGCAATATCCAACGCAAAGATTGTTCTTATTATTATTTTAGCTGGTTAAACTCCAGCAGTTCCCGAATGCACACTCTGGGGTCCCCAAAGCTTGGTTTTTGCTAACTTCCAAAAACTCATACTCTCCAGAATGAGGTAAGGAGGGTGCGTCCCTCTGGGGTGAGAGCTCACATTCCATTCCAGATGCAGGAATTTATATGCATAGACAGCATACGGAATGGGTTTCCACATGTATCAGACACCTGACTAACCAAACCAAATCAGCTACTGTACCAGCTGTAATTTTTTTAAATTCTCCTCTCCAGCATTCCACATACTTTGATCAAGATTAGGGTCATAAATGTTATATTCACTACTTGGATTTGGACAGACCAATTCAGAGCCACAAATATTCTGCTGTTAACTTTAAGTGCCTTATGCCTGCCTATAGGAACTGCAGAAGAGAGTTGTGGAGATCTCTTGGGATGGTGTGTACTTCTGGTTATCAGCAGATGTTGCTATTAATCAGTCCAGTTAGCAAAACCCACACTTTCAACAACATTGCCATGCCATTTAGTCCCCGTTAATGTCAAACTATAATCACTTTGCTATGGACCCATGCTGGCTAGGACCTGGGTTGAAATTACCTAACCTCAATTGAACATACCGCCATCACAGATGAGACTTCCATCTCATCATTCCTGGATTTGACTCCCAAGCCCAGGGACAAACAAGAAATAAATAATGCATTTCGAGTGGCGTTTGGATTGCTTTGTTCAACTCCAATTAAATCTTTGGGAATACAATGTGTTTTGTGCCAACAGGATGTGATTATGACCCTTCAAGAGAAGCTGTCCATCAAATGCATTGAGCACTTTTCCCTGATGCTTGAACAGCGCACCGAAGGGGATGTGACTAAACTCCTTTTGCTTCATGACCAAGAGACCCTTACTCAGGTAATTTCTCTTAAAGAGCAGATGAAGCTGTCATCTCACAGGATAACAATGAATATTGGTAAGTTATAAGGACAACAGCTGAGACTAAGCACAGCACAGACTCGTGCTAAAATAGCTGATGGATGATATGGTTCCATTAAGAAAAANGTGCAATCCTTGTTTGTCAAGGCACCTGTCACTCTTGCTCGGGCAGGAGATGGGAAATGGAAATAGAAGGTTCAAATGGTTTTAAAGGAAAAATTCTGATTATTTTTTAATCACTCAAATATAATTGAAGTCATTATACATTATCCAATGTTTGGCTAAAGGGGACATGCACTCACTCTTCCCTTTAAGAGGCTCCTACAACAGATGGCTCTGTCCAGTCACCATTCATTTGATATTACTTTATTTCAGGTGACACAGAGGCCTGGATCCCACAAGATGAAATGTCTCTTTAGAATCAGCTTTGTCCCAAAGGATCCAATTGACCTTCTACGCAGAGATGCAGTTGCTTTTGAATATTTATATGTTCAGGTAAGTAAATCCAACAAACCATCTGGATTCTAATGCAGTGCTTCTCAACACCTTTTTCAAACATGTTAAATGATTTTGGTTTTAGACAAAATGCAGATAAAGGGCGGTATTTGCTGCTGGTATAAATGATTTCTAGCACGTTATACAGATATCAACAATCTACCAATATACATTCACATTGGCAAAGCAGAAGGAATCTACCAGCAAGCATGATGTTGATGTGATACAAAGATGGTAGGGTGTAAGGAAGAGATCAAATCTTCATACAAACCTCAGTTGTGAGTTGCCATACACTCCCAAAAGCAGGTTTAGCACATGGCTTATTGCCACAATTTGGCTGCAGAAGGGAATTTTGAAGGGAGTTTGCAGCTTCACAGATAAAGAGTTAACCTTCCATGCACTGATCCATGTGGAGGCTTTCTAGTACAGTGAAGCGAGTCCGAATTGAGCTCTTTTACACAGTGGCATAGATGTTCCCTCACTTCTTCTGGACTCACAGAAGGATGTGCATAACCTGAAACATACCTGGTTTCTTTTCCTTTCTTACAAAACTGCAGTTTGAACGAATAGAGAAGGTCATAGTGAGCATGTGAAAAAGAATAGTTAAAATCCAATATGGAACACTGTTTCTCTACAAGTTTAATAGCTTTTAGTTGATGATATTGCTTTACTGTATAGCCACTACCAGCAACTAACTGGCTCTCCGTCATCCCTCCTGCCAGAATTTCAAAGTGATTCACATGTACACTGGGTTGATTTGCCTTGTACTTGATAATAATGATAGATTGAGGCCACTTTTTCAGATCCTCCAGAAGTTGGCCAATGCCCTAAGCTGCAAACTTCAGACAATTTATCTGCTAAACTTTGGCAAATAGCTGGGTGTGTAGATGGAGATCCCACAGAGGAAATGCTTAGTTCAATTTCAGTGTAATAGCAGATTATGCTTCTGCCTCTGCTGTTTCTCCGTCAGAGTTGCAATGATGTGGTCCATGAGAGGTTCGGACCTGAGCTAAAGTACGACATAGCTCTCCGACTCGCTGCATTACAGATGTACGTTGCTACCGTCAGCACCAAGCATTCCCAGAAAGTCTCTCTGAAATACATTGAGTAAGTAATGAAAATGTCACTAAATGTCAATAACATTAACAACAACGACAACTTGCGCTTATAGAGTGCCTCCACGCAGGATAGCATCTCAGAGCGCTTATGAGTGGTGGTGCCTGACTCTAAGCCGGAGGGGGATCCATAAGCACAGTTGAAAAGGGAGGTTTTCAGGTGGGACTTGAAATAGAGGAGAGAGGGGGCAAGCAGAGGGATTGAGGGAGAGTGTTCCAGAGTTTCAGGGTGTAGTGACTGAATGCACGACCTCCAATGGTGGAGTGGAGGGCGCGAGGGACAGGCAGCAGGCTGATGCCAGTCGAGCGGAGTGACTGGGTGGTATATTGAGGAGTGAGGGGGTCGGAGAGGTAGGAAGATGCCAGAGAGTGAAGGGAATAAGGTAACATTGTGCTGGTAAAGCATTGAATGGGAATCTCCTATCTGTTGGAATGACTGACTGGTGAATGACTTCATAGTTCTTATGGTTAGAGTGTGCTGATATCTGAAGATTGCTCATGTAATCTGTGCCAAACATTTTGTGTGACTGTATGGTCCTGATTTTTTGCTTGTTCAATGTAACACCTCTTCATATTTTTCATATCAAACTCCTACACACTCTCTATTTTTGTTTATTTTAATTAACTATGATTACACAGTAATGAAGAGAAGCAACCTGAATTCTCAGATATGTCACATAGGAAAAATAATCCCTGTCTCATTTAATTTCTGGGCAATTGTATTATTGAAAACAAGCAAACTGATGGTCACTAATAAAAGACAAAACGTGTACTTTCTAGCACTTTTTCACATCAAAACATTTCAAAACATATCACATAGTGACTGTTTTTGAAGGAAAACATGGCCACTATTTGCACCAGTAAAATCCCACAAACTACCATTACATTAGTGGTCAATTAATCCAAAACATATTGGCCAGGACATCAGGAGAAACCCCATTTTCAAATCTTCTCGAAGGATCTTTAACACCTCCCCCTCTACGTTCATGGCACAGTCGTTGAACCTGAGAAAATCCCAGTTTCAATTCCAGATATGTTGGAAAACTCTCAAAATTAAGGTTTTTGAATGCAAACTATTACATATTAATACTGTAATAGTTATAGTTATGAACCTTCACAAATGTCACTGTCAGAACCCTATACATAAGGATCTAGATTTCAACATTTGTAAAAAGGTTTTGTAATTAGCAAATGCCAAACGTATCAGATCCCAACCCTCCAGAGCTCCCCTCAGACATTGACTTAAGATTCAAATTCAAGATTCAAGATTGAGCAAAGTTCAAGAACGCTAGCCTTGACACTCTCGGGATTCACTTTTGATAATTCCTTTTGCAAATCTCACAATCTAAACCCTGTTTTGTTGTAGCAACTTTGGTGTTGGAAGTTCTGAAGAATGTTTCCCTCAATGATTGAGCGAGTACAGTCTGCAAAAGGGAAGAGCTGTCCAAATGGGCTAATTCCATGGTTCCCTATTTTCTCATGATTGATGTAATAGGCATAGGCATAATCGTGGAGTCCTGTAGCTCAGTGGTTAGAGCACTCGCTTTGCAAGCGAGAGACCTGAGTTCAATTCCAGGTAGGGTGAAACCTTGGACAAGTTTCCTTACTCCACACGCCTAATAATAATCCCTCCAAAACCAAAATCAATAATAAATTGGTCATTTTCAATCTACGACTGTTTGTGGGACATTGCTGTGCGCAATTGGCTGCCGCGTTCGCCCACAAATATACAGTCAATTCACTTTACAGTGTGTTCTGTGAAGCGCTTTGGGACGTCCTCCCGACGTGAAAAGCGCTATATCAAATGCAAGGATTATTATTATTATATTATTATAGGCAAGCTAGCAGCAAGAGGTATGCAGGTTCAGATCTCAGCACCTTCAGTCACTCCAGCTCACCTGTCTAAGATCTGGGTACATTTCTCTAATAGCTGGATCCACTTGCGGGAGGAAAAGAATCAGACCTGTTTTATGGATCAGGTAGTGATAGTCCCATGTAAAAGTCAATTATCCCAGATACTGCAAACCTCACATTAGCTAACTGGTATTATACGTGTCGGATTACATACAAAAATAAGTACTGGGAACATCATCACCAGAAATGTATGTTTTTTGTTTTTATGTAGGTCAGTTTATCCAATGGAGAGCTCTGTGAATAAAACACTGTAAAACAAATTAAATCCAATAACTTTCTATTGTTTTCTCTGGTGTACAATTCCCCCCACTCCCACTCCTTCTCAGGAAAGAATGGGGCCTTGAAACCTTCCTTCCACCCATGGTTTTACAAAGCATGAAAGAAAAAAATGTGAAGAAGGCACTTTCACACATCTTGAAGGCCAACCAAAATCTGGTTCCTCCAGGCAAAAAGGTACTGTATGCCGTTGCACTGTAAGGGCATAGTAATTGACTAATGCATCTTAGCCACAGTACAGACCAAGTAAAGGCTGACAATGATCCAATATTTCACATGGGAGCTGTGTGGCAATTGCCCAGGATGGATGTCGTAATGCTATTGCCACTGTGCCTATCTAACAAGATTGAAAAATATATAGCTAGAGCTGTTCTAACCTCTATTTTGTGGACACGTATTTGTTTGTTCAATGCCTACGGGCTGTTTCTTTGGTGCACACAATTTAACAAATGAAGTGCCCAAATAATTGAGAAATATTAATATCTCAGTGAAATGGAATAAGGAAGCAGAAATATAATGACACTGTAATGTCTTGCAAAAGTGTCTCAGATGATGAGAATTCTCCTGGGTTCAACCGAGCATATCCAAAATAACTGCAGTCATTGATTTGTCATCCATTATCTTAATTGTATTCTGGACCGGTTTTCACCTCTGACACACGGTGAATGAATACACAATAAAACTCCACCAGACCATATTGAAGATATCCAGCACGGTGGCACTTATAATAATAAATTCATCCTTACATTTGCTATAGCACCTTTCACGTGAGGAGGACGTCCCAAAGTGCTTCACCAGATAAACTGTGCAGTACAGTGATTGCGTGTTTTGTGGGCAAACATATCGAACTAACTGACATTTTTATAATAATCGTGTTGTTCAAGGATGCAAAATTGTTTATTTTTGGGAAGGAAGAAATCTTTAGCTTACACGGTTCCAGCTTGATTTGCGATGATGAGAAAGGAAATACAAGAAGGAACCAGTTACATTTGTTTGAATTTTCCATTGTCTTTCGTGGTGTGCTGCAAATTTCTGCAGCGTGCTGAATTCTGAGATTCCTTGTAACAGTCGGTGATTCTGACAATTCTCGGGTGTTTCATTAAACTGCGACCTATTGAATTTAAACTGCAAATCCAGAGATATCTAACATGTTCTTCACTTTAATGTAAATTGAACATAAATGTATTTCATAACCTTTCTCTTCTGTTCCAGTTTTCCGCACTACAGGCCAAGGTGCACTACTTAAAGTTTCTCAGCGATCTGCGCTTATATGGAGGAAGAGTGTTCAAAGCAAAGCTCCTGGTAATTGATCTTTTATTTTTACGCCCTCCCCATTAAAGAATGGTAAATCTCTCTCAGTGAGTATAGGCGACAGTCCAGTCCCACAGTCTCGGTTCAAATTATTATACAATGTGGCCACCTTCACAAATCTCTCATGCTTTGTTCTCTCACGCCTTGTTCCTCACGCACTCACAAAAGTCATGAGTGTGAGAGAGGAAAGAAAAGTCCAGAAAAGATTGTGACGAAATTGAAAGATGTTCAGTTCCATGGACAGTCTCATAATAATAATCTTTGCATTTGGTATAGTGCCTTTCACGTCAGGAGGATGTCTTAAAGCACTTCGCAAGATATTCTGTAAAGTATAGTGACCATGTTATGATTAACCTATATAAAACACTGGTTAGGCCTCAGTTAGAATACTGCGCCCAGTTCTGGGCACCACACTATAGGAAGGATGCTAAGACATTGGAAAGAGTGCAGAGGAGATTTACGAGGATGGTACCAGGAATGAGGGACCTTGATTATGAGGAAAGGCTCGAGAGGCTGGGATTATTCTCATTGGAGCAGAGAAGGTTACGAGGAGACCTAATAAAGGTCTTCAAAATCATGAAGGGATTTGATAGGTTGGAAAGGGAAAAACTGTTTCCATTGGTGGGTGTGTCGGTGACTCGAGGTCACAGATTCAAAATATATTTGAGGAGGACGAGTTTACAGGGTTATGGGGAAAGGGCTGGGAAGTGGGATTGACATTAATTGCTCTATTCAAAGAGCCGGTACAGACTCGATGGGCCGAATGGCCTCCTTTTGTGCTGTACAATTCTATGATTCTATGATTCTATGATTTGTCGGCAATTGAAGGTAGCAGCCCATTTATACACAGCAAGGTCCCATAAACAGCTTTGAAGTGAACGACCAATTTTATTTGGGGATTTGTTAATCAGGCCACCAGGAGAAACTCCTTTCTCTTTTTAAATCAGTCTTAGGAATAGAAGGAAAATCTGATGTTTCATAATAGATTCAATGTCCAATTGAATTTAGTGCATAATGATATGTTGCATTTTTCACCCTGGCTACTCAATGCTAGTCAGCTCTGATATCATCTTTTAATAGTATAAGTTATTTTGTAGCGGAGGAGGGCAATTGCAGTGGATTCTACGGAAAAAGTGCAGCCGAATCTTTCCATTGGGCCAGGTCATAATGGTATTTTAGACTCCTAATAGAGAATCAACCAGGATGTGGTTTGACGTGAATTTCTCAATTTTTATCAATTACAACAGCAAGGGGAGAAACACTCCGAAGTCACTCTGATGGTGGGACCCCGATATGGAATAAGCCACGTAATAAACGCAAAGACAAACCTGGTGGCACTTCTGGCTGATTTCAGCCATGTTAACAGGATTGAGATGTTCTCTGAAGAGGAAAATAACGTGAGAGTTGAATTGAATGTGCTGGATGTCAAGGTAAGAACATGGGAGGAGATGTGGTAGGCCCTAAAGGCAGGGGAGCCTTCGCAAGGGGCTTTTGAAGATAGAGCCTTAGGGATGGCATACAAATATAGAATAGGAAAAAATGAACTAATTACTGGTCAAAACCACTGTTTATTGATCTCTAGCCAATACAATCCCACAGTTTAAGCACTGTGGCTTGTTGCTGTGCCATGTAGATCAGTATACAATGTACCCATTGCACTGTACCTTAACAGGAGGGCACATTTGAACCTGGCATATTAAATCATTCGATAACATCTTGAAAAGAGGTGAAGATGTACTGTTAAGATAAATTCAAGCATGAAAGTCGTAGAAGTCAGTCCATGATAGTCATTGGCTGCGCTAAATCAGGTTTTGCCCCTCTCACCCATGAGATTTCACTTCATGGCTTCCTTTACTCTTGTTTGCTATGCATGCATTTCATTAGTATTCTGATATTGCATAGTATATTTAGACACATTTGCTTGGGAAAAGCTATTCAGGTTGAGTGACCCAAACAGTGTGCAATAACTACAGTAAAACTTACTATAATTCATATCAGTCAGGACCATAGCATTTAATATGACTTACACAAAGTCTGAGTTGCAGTAAACTATATAAATCGTATAAAATCTGATTTAATCAATAATGTACACTTTGCATGGGTAATTCAATGCAGCCAGTAAGTGAGCATGTGGTAGTTTGTCACTCCAGTCAGTGCTCATGTGGTGACGGGTAAATGCATCCTGCTATTCAATGCATCTTGATCCGTTGGCCCCATGCACTTACAGGTAACATTGGAATCGCATTGAATCGTGGGAAATGAAGTTCTCCTGTGCATGAGTTGACAGATCAAGACCACGTTTCTGCTGATTCAATGCAGATGGCCGATAAGTGCGCTTGAGTCGAAGGGTCAGATCCTTATTTCCCGCGATTAATGTAGCCGGTAAGCGCGGGAGTTACTTGAGAATAGTTACGAGTTAGGAGGTTACTGATGCAAGTGGTCAAAGAAATCAAAGTGGTTTTGATAGAAAACTGAAAGGGACTCTGGTGCATGTACCACTTAGGCAATTACATGATTTATAAAGACAAGACCTATGCGAGTTTTACTGTATTGCTATTGAGAACAATCTCCTTGGATTAAATTTTCTAGTGTACAGTGATAATAAATTAATCATCCTCAATTTTATTTTCAGCCCATCATTCTACTAATGGAGTCAACGGATGCAATGAACCTTGCCTGTTTAACAGCTGGGTATTACAGGTTACTGGTGGACTCACGTCGCTCCATATTTAATATGGCTTACGGCAAACACAGTCCAAACAGCGAAGCAGGTAATATTACCAGATGGGAAGATTCTACTACTTTTTAGTGTATTTTGTTTGAGAGCACCAGTTTAAAATAACAGCCCTTTATAGTCTATTGTATAACTCACAGCTTTGTGGATGTTTTTAGAACCTGCAAGTGTCAGGGAGTGACTTAGACAACTGGGCATTGTAGTATTTAAAATCACCAAGGGCACAGTAGAACATTTTATTGGCAGCATTGAGGTAGAGTTTCACAGTCCGTGGCAGCCTTTCAGCATCTTGCCTATGTAGACAATGAGAAAATGTCATGTCAGCTGTCTGACCGTGAGTTGTACCAGGGGCTGCCCATTTCTCACATCTATATACACATACATACACTTTTCAGCGGGGACAGATAGTAATATCTGGATCATAATCAGGGCCTATAGGGGGAGACCTTTCTAATAAACATCTGTAACAATATGAGAGGCATTAAGGCAATTGCGTTTGCCTACAGAATACACAGTAAATGCTGTGAAACTCTTTGAGTCGTCCTCCTGATGTGTAAGGTGTCTTATCAAATGCAGGAATAAGTTAGATTAATACCTGCAGGTTATGCAATGTAAGGTTAATTTGCTTGGATTACTGGCTAGTGCTCGAGGCATGCAATAATTTGTGTCAAACAGTATTGTTCAGTACTTATGATCTGTCTCTTGTTCACTTTGCATAGGCCCAGAATACAGGAGTAAGCACAACATACACAACTCGGAATGGAATTATTTACCAAAGAGCTCATGTCATATCCATGCTAGAAATCAGAATGCGCAGGCAATGTTTATTAAGGAAACCAAGCAGAAAAATGTTGATTTCTCTGAGGACATACTTTATCACGAAGATTCCAGGGGTGTTTTGATATCTGAAATTTCACACATGACTGAGCACGGTCACCAAGAGCCTGAAAGTGTAGATAGCATGGAAGCTGAAAACAAGATTGTTAGCTCGCTGTCCTCTGGGAAAGAGCTGAGCAAATCGGGGCAGAACATTCAAAGAGGAGCAAAAGTATCCTTTGTCTTTGAGGATCACATTGTCGCTGCTTTTAACCCAAGAAACCTTGGATATGAAAGATTACTGGATGACAGTCCCAACAATTTAGACCAACAGGCATCAATGTACTTGCCCAACACTGCTGACATTAGATGTTCTGACTCACTGTTCTCGTTTCCGGGCATGGATGTAGAAAGCATTGAAGCAAATGTTGTATATGCAAACATTAATGACAGTCGAATATTTGGAAATACAGAAGGCCTAGAAGAACCATTGCTGCATGACATCTGTTATTCAGAGACGACGGACGATGCTGAGGATGATGATGAGGCGAGCTGTGAGGAAGACATCCTGGTGGGAGAGGCAGAAAAAACAAACCTGCTGAATATGTCTGGCTCCAGTGATGACATAATTGATTTAACGTCACTTCCTCCGCCCGGGGGTGACGATGATGAGGAAGATGACTTTCTTCTTCACACACTGAATATAGCGATAGCTGCTCCACCGCCTGGTTTCAGAGACAACAGCTCAGATGATGAAGAAGATGGCCAGCATCAGCCTGCACAACGTACACCAGAGACTGGCCAAACCAGATGTTCTCCAAGTGATGACATCCCTGTGTCGTTGATTGATGCTGTCCCTACACATTCTGAGGAGCAGAGTGGTGAGCAAGCACTGGACGATGCAGTGGTTTCTACTTTGCAAGCACTGGAGGCGCTGGCTGCTTCTGAGGAGCAGTCCGTTCAACAAACAGATGACAGTTCAGGTTCTTTCACCATAGTCACATTTATTCATTGACAGTCATAATGTTTCATCTGTAAACGTTTTAACACCTTGGAAACATTCCAGAACAAATGTCATCATCAGTTGTGTCACCCCCATTTCTGATCTGGCATGCTAATGGAACGATCTAAGTTATTTCATTCTGGATGCTAATTATGCACTGAAAGCCGAGTATTCTTAAGAATGCTAAAGCTGTGTTTCATAAAAGTATTTTGTTAATACAGTATTAAGAAAGTGCCTATGATGTAGTAATTAATTGGCTGTTTATTCTCTTATGGCATACAGGTGTAGTGATATTAAGAGCTTATAGTCCTGAGTCATCATCGGATTCTGGCAATGAAACAAACTCTTCTGAAATGACTGAAAGCTCTGAGGTAGTCTCAGCACAGAAGCATTCGGAGGGCTCCATGCACATGCTTGTGGCCACCAGTGAAGGCTATCAGCAACTTCAAGAAGAGCAAACTGAATTCCCAATCTCCCAGAATGAGACTGTAGTGCCTGGATCTAAAATGATCCCAAAAGCCACACATTCCATGACCGGGCAACGAGTGAGCAACGCAAAGTCCAAAGTTGTGCCTTCCAAACAAATTCTTCCCTCCGAGGAAATCGAAATGGAGCCAGAGACAATGGAGACAAAATCTGTAACCGATTACTTCAGCAAACTGCAGATGGGATCTCTGGGGTACGCTTGCCCAAATAAACAGAAAAACAAGGCAGGTGATGTTCGCGGCAAGACAACCTTTGATGGCAGTGCATCATTGAAGAAGCAAAACACAAACAGAAAGGCGGAATTGGGTGACGACGTATCATCCCAAAGCAAATATAACACCATGATTACAAAAAGCAGTCATCGCACAACCCCTTTCGATTTAGAGAGCACCACCTTTCGTAGGGAAACCCAAAGGTGGTATCAAGCTTCAAACGAAAAGATGGCTGATAAGCATTTCCCAGGCTTAGTCAATGGCAAACATTTTCACAAAACCTGTGCACTTTCTAGAAGTGAACTGGAAGGGAAGGGAGCTGATTCCAAGATAGATGATGGCTGTGCCTTGGCCAGCACCTCAGGGCTTGGACACAATGACGATTATCTCTCTGACACTAAGTACATGGCTTTAGCCAAAGACCTGAATGATCCGGAAAGTGATGACCTTTTCCCTGACGATCACTCTTCAGAGCTTCCAGAGGCTGAGCAGAGCATGGCTACACTGTGTGAATACCACATGACAAAACGAATGTCCTCTTTCCAAAGCGAGGGCCATTACTCTTTGCAGAGCTCCCAGTGTTCTTCGGTGGATGCACCCTGCAGCACAGGCAGCAGTATGTGTGCTACCCCAATAGATTCTCCCCACTGTACATCTGATATTAAGCACATATTGTCAGAATCTTCTCTAAAAGGCCTTGGCTACATTTCAGAAGATCACCGAACACATTTGCTTCAAAACCATGGAACATCCTATAAAGATCTGCATCCACAAGCTGAAGCTACGTGTCATAGAAGAACAGCCCTTAACACGTATGCACCATCAAATGCTGAGCCAGTATTTGGTACCATACGTGACGGGTGCCATCGAGTACCCAAGATTAAAGAAACCACAGGTACAACAGTAAACAGAGATAATATTTACGCAGATGTTGAGCTACCGCAGTTAACATTTGAAAGTAAAATAAAGGGAGAGGGGAATGATAATGAAAATAGCCTTCGGTTGTCAGGTTCATCTCATGAAGTTGGCTCTAGGGACTGTGATACCAAATCTATGGAAAGGACAAATAAATCCAAAGTGGACCGTTCTAGTGGCTCCCTGACAGGGGATAAATCTCAAGAAATAAAATTCAGTACATTTCCTAATCTTAAAAGCACACCCATCACATGCCCGAATAAAATTGAAATGCATGCTGAAAATCACCCCAAAAGTTCTAAATGTCATGGGTCCGACACGCTGACGTTCCCGTCGTTAGTTTCAACGTGTGCCACATCAAGAGGAGACAGTGTTAGCCAGCACGATTCATTATCATCAAATAAAAGTAAAGCATCTAAGACTTCATTGTGTCATTTAAAAAATATTTTTTCCTCCACTTTACCTGCTAAATTAAAAAGGGATATTGACCTAGCTAAATCGAAAACTCTAAAACCTAAGCATCATGAGGTACCCATTGGTCAGGAAAGGAGAAAAGTAGTCAGTTTTGACAGGCATGTAGGACAACATCCACATTCAGAGCAATGTCAGATTCCGAGTAAAGGGGCTACTGTTGAGAATGCTATAGCTCTGCCTGGATGTTTTCATGAGAAGCAGCTCTCTGCTGAGGACAATCAGTGCAACCCAGAATGTAAATTTCAGCATGTTGTCAAGGAGATGCTTAATGATTCTCTGTGTTTTTCTACCACCCATAGTGTAGCTTGCACAGAGCCTGAGCAAGGAGGAAGAGGAGGTGCATCTTCAGCTCTCACTAAACAATTCAAAGCCGACAGCATTCCTCTGCCATCAGACATTTGCAATGATACAAAGGTGCCAAGTACATGCCAAGAGTCCCATGATTTTCCCAAAGTAGAACAAGCGCATGCAACAGCACTTAACTTAAAGGCTTGTGATGTTAGTGGAGGAAGTTTTAGAGTTCCTCAGAGAAGGAATGTGCTGAGGCGTTGCAGCAGCAATGTTACACCTGGAGCGAGAAGCGTAGAAACCTTTTTAGAAAAATCAAGGAGTTCTGCGGCATTCCGATACACTGATCTCTCTGACGTTCCCAACCCTAAACCTATACAGAAAAGAATGGAACTTCCTCTGGGCAAGAGACTATCAAAGAGTCACTCTCAAGGATCAGTTATAACTAGTTCATCGTGCTGCTCCACTGCTACAGACAGTAAGGAGATTCGAAGATCATCACAGATCTTTTCAGTACAAAAGGATTTCAGACCAATTAAGCCGTTGCCCTTTCCGAAGGTAGAGACAAGTAACTGGAAGTGCCATGGTCCTTTTACCTATTGTTTCCTTAACAAAGACACTGATGTCGATGATGAAGACGATGGTTATGGCAAGAAGGACCAATTGTCTCATTTGTATCAGAATCAGGTGTTGTCCAATTCATCACAGGTAATCTGTGCATCTTTGGGCACTGACAGTGCCAGCAAAGTCATACAACCCAATGTGGCTGCTGGAAAGACTGGCAGCAACATTGAGCAGCAACACACTGACGTCAACTTTAAAGACATGTCATTCAAGAGCAAAATTGCCAGAATCAATGCACTAAAGGACAAAGTATTCACATTGACAGATGGATTTCTTGTTGCTCAGAAAGATGCCAATGAACTATTGTCTCTGCTGCAATCAACCATTGGTAAAAAGGAAAATGCAAAACCAGAACCTTATGAACTCCGATTTAACCAATATAAACAGTTGTTGTCAATTGAATCAAGAGAGTTGGGAAGTGCTTGCAGGAAAATTGCTGCCGCAGACAAAAGCCCAGAGGAAATGCTCTCAGCTATGACTTCTAGCTTCCAAGTACTGTGTTGTTTAACTGAAGCCTGCATGCGATTAATTAAAGTAATGAACTCCGAAACACAGCAACAGGAAATTGTTGCTAAGGTAGACGAGGTTGTAATGAACTATGTTTGTCTCCTGAAGGCTGCAGAAGCCGCATCAGATGCAGCGCCCACTGACCCTAGCGTTAAAGTCTTAGCTCGACATTCAGTTACCATGACAGCTATCGTAAGCACACTAACTCGTTCACTTAAAATGCTTTTAAACAAATAAAATGCAAATTGTACTTTAAAAATGTACCCATGTAAAGCCATACATAGAGTTTACTGTAAGCGTGGGTCCATCACATGGTCAATATGGACTGCTGTAAAAGAAACATGCTTTTGTGTACATTATGTTTTCTATGACCAGGCTGTGGGATATTAATATGTTATACAGCTCAATGCCCTAGAACAGACATGTAAGTGAAACTCCTTTCCAAATGACAAGGAAATATAGAATGCAGTCAGTGGTATAAAATTAGTTATTTTTCATATTGGTACCTGTGCTCCAGAATGGTTTAGCGCCCCAACCAAGTGTGTCAAGACTTCCCCTAATACTGCCACCAGAGGACTGCGATACACTTCGAACAGTCACACATGTGATACTACATCACTATGTAAATATTAAAGTATTATCTAAAGTTTTAAATTATGCTTTTTAACCAACGCAAACAGTATAAACAATAAACAATAAAATGAATCAATTGTGTTGTATTATTTGGGGGAACAAAATCAAATGCAAGAAGGACTTTTCTCTCCTTTTACATTAGAATATATTAGAATACATTAGACTATACAGCACAGAAACAGGCCATTCAGCCCAACTGGTCTATGCCGGTGTTTATGCTCCACATGAGCCTCCTCCTGCCCTTCCTCAACTAAGCTTCAAGCATAACTTTCTATTCCTTTCTCCCTCATGTACCTATCTGGCTTGCCCTTAAATACATCTATGTTATTTATAATAATAATAATAATCCTTGAATTTGATATAGTGCCTTATCACGTCTTCTAGACGTCTCAAAGCGCTTCATAAAATATACTGTGAAGTGAATTGACTGCATATTTGTGGGGGAAACGCGGCAGCCAATTGCGCACAGCAGTGTCCCACAAACAGTTGTGGATTGAGTGACCAAATTGTTATGCTTTTTTTTCTTGAGGGAGTATTATTAGGAGTGTGCAGTAAGGAAACTTGCCCGAGGTTTCCCCCTGCCGGGAATCAAACCCAGGTCTCTCGCTTGCCAGGCGAATGCTCTAACCACTGAGCTACAGAACTCCTTGTGGTAGCATGTTCCACATTCCCACTACTCTTTGTGTGAAGAAGTATCTTCTAACTTCCCTATTTGCCTCAACAACGCCTTGTGGTAGCATGTTCCACATTTCCACTACTCTCTGTGTGAAGAAATATCTTCTAACTTCCCTATTTGATCTATTTGTGACTATTTTAGACTAATTGAAAGCCCCTGGTTTTGGTCTCCCCTACAAATGGAAACATCTTCCCTATATCTACCCTATCAAAACCTTTCATCATTTTAAAGACCTCTATCAGGTCACCCCTTACCCTCCTCTTTTCAAGAGAGAAGAGTCCAAGTATGTTCAGCTTTTCCTGATAGGTATAACCTCTGAGTTCTGGGATCATCCTTGTGAATCTGCACACAGTATTCCAAGTGTGGTCTAACCAAGGTTCTATAGAAGTTTACCATAATTTCCCTGCTTTTCATTTCTATCCCTCTAGAAATAACCCGCAATGCCTGGTTTGCTTTTTTTTATGGTCTTATTGACCTGCGTTGCTGCTTTTAGTGAATTGTTTACGTGTACCCCTTGATCCCTTTGCTCCTGTATCCCATTTAGGTTTTTATTTTCCAGGATGTATGTGACTTCCTTATTCCTTCTACCAAAATGTACCACTTTTCTACATTGAAATGCATTTGACATTTAAATGCCCATTCAGCAAGTTTATTAATGTCTTGCTGTAATTTGTTGCAGTTCTCCTCTGTATTAACTACTCCCTCCAATTTGGTGTCATCCATTTACTTGATATACTTTTTTTTTTACAAGCGTTTACCAAAAGATGGCATGGTTAATGGCATGGTATTTTTAAATTGGACAAAAAGTGTAAGAAAATAAAGCGTTCCAGAGTATTTGAATCCATTTTACAGTGCACAGTCCTATCGTCTTATAAAATATTTGTCATTTTGTAATTTTTNATAACAAATTTCTGTTTCCACAATAATAATGATGATAATGATTGTTATGAATACAAAATGTGTAAATATCAAATTCCTAAAATGTTGAGGTCTGAAATTCCACCTAATTTTAACCAAGGCAACAACAATGAGCAGCAGTGCACAGACTCTGCCAAGAAAAGCATTTTGGTTTAAAGTTTAAGATTTATGCAGAATTGTGGAAAATGCTTAAATTCAGTCCTGACATGGGAGCTAGTTTTTTTGCAGTTCTCAAAAAGAACCTTCTACCAAACAAAGAATACATCTTTCAGCACATCCGATGTTTTGGAAATTCATAATTCCGTATTTCTCATTAAGTAATCTCTTGAGAAAAAACACAAATTAGATCCTATTGAAGCCACATTTTATGTTCAAGTCACACTCCATATACTATCCTTTATAATTATCTTCAGAGGAACACGAAAGCAGTGCTTTTAAAACAGGTTCACCATACAAGACTTATTTAGAAAACAGTCCAAGATTGTAAGGGATGATGAGGTGGTGGGTATTCAGGAGGGATGAGATTAAATGCTTCCTGTTCCAGAAGGCCTTCTTGATCATGCAGATTTTTTTGTGTGATCTTGTGAGTACTGCACATTGTAATTCCCAGTTTAAAGAATCAATGTGAGGTATAGGTTTGTCTCACATCCAATGAATTCACATATCTTACAGTATACAGTAAAACTAACATAAGTTTTATCTTTATAAATTGTATAATCGCCTAAATTGTACATACACAAGTCTCATTCAGTTTCCTATCAAAACCACTTAGATTTCTTTGCACTCGTCATATTAATCATCTTCTTACTTGTAAACGCCGCTTCCATATCCTCCATTATTCCCGCACTTTCCGGCTTCGTTGAATCGTTGGAAATGTGGTCCTGACCCATCAACACATGCTCATTTACCGGCTGCAGTGACAAACTACAGCATGCGCATGGAATTATGGTGCATTGAATTTACCGATGTGCAGTGTAGATTATTGATTAAATCCGATTTTATATGCCTTATACAAGGTTGCCTGCAACTCAAACTTTGCATGAGTCATATTAAATGTTATGATCCCAACTGATATGACTTATGAAATTTACTGTAATTGTACTATTACTGCAGCCAACACCAGGAAAGCCTTTGTAATTTGAAAGTATTTCTGGGCAACTGATCCACTGTCCTTGAAGCTTCTAATTGAGGAACTCCCATCTCTTTAATAATGTTGAAATCTAACCAAAATTGGGCAGCAATTATTGGAGTTCTACATGACTGGCGGCTTGCTGAAGGTGAGGATGATGTAGAATCAACAAAATATATCTTGGCTGCTGCCTCACTTCACTTTGCCCTGGGCATCAAGTCAATCCAGCTCTGAGATGTTTCTTGTCCAGGCATGAGTGACTGTCCATGACTATGCCACGAGCAAAGAGTTTCGGAAGGTAGGTTGGAGGCAGAGAAGCTTTGAGTGCAAGTTAACATCTCCTCAAAAGCAGCATTGATAAACACTGTTTGTCCTGTCATAAAAATGCTTGGAATGAGACAAGAGGAGGGAAATTTTAAATAACCACTGGTTTTAACAGTCTTTAAATGCTTTCAATATCATGGAAGAAATATTGAGATTTTTAAAATATATTTACCTGTTCCATTGGGAATGATAAATCGTATGAGGACCCTTGAGGAAAGGAATTGGGAAGCAGCGAATTTCACTCAATTATTTTATATTGCCCAGGGAGAGAAACAGCGGGTGTAGCAGCAATCTTAACTGAGATTGTCATCAAATATTAAATAAGTAATAAATAAGAATCCTTGCAATTGAATTTGCACAACTCACTTCAGGGCAACATCCTAAAACACTACACAGGATTTACTGTGAAGTGCAGTGACCGTGTACTGTGGGTGAATGCAGCAGCCAATTTGTGCACAACATAGCCCACCAACAACCATGAAATGGATGACCAATTTTATTTGAAGGACTCCTCTTTTCAAATCGTGCCATCCAGACAGGAGCTCGGTTTAACATCTTATCTGAAGGACGTCACCTCTGACATTGGAATGTCAATTTAGACTACGTGAGTTCATCCCGACATGGGGCTTTAACCCACAACCTTTTGACTCATAGGCGAGAGTGCTACCACTGAGCCAGGCTGACACAAAAATAATAATCCTGAGCTAGCAATAAACTCATATGGGTCACAGTATTCTTCATCCATTGGTTCTCATTTCAAACACCAACACAGTCTACTCTCCTGTACAGTTTGGTTATTGGAACAATCCATTCACACACAGCTTGGAGTCCAGGGGTGAACCAGGCTCAATGTAATGACTTAGTGAGGAATTACAGAGAGGAATTTGTTGCTCTAGTTGGAGAGAAATTCCATTGGGGTCTAGATTTTTTTTAGCATTTCAGGCCATGCAGGATTTGGTAAATTGTTATCTTAAGTCTTAACTTTGAAGTGTTATTTTTCTCTCAACGTTAAAGTTGTATCTAAGAATTTGCCAATTTTGGACTTTCTGAAATGCTAATAAAACAGAATAAATCTCGACCCGGGTGAAGTTTCTCCCCCAATTTAGTTTAAATTGGTAGGAAATACATCACACAGTAGATGATATGGAAAATTATCTGTAAGCAATCTCTTGTCACTTCAAAGATTCACAGGTTTTAAACTACAGGATTTTTATTCTCTGAAGATTTGTAGCTTCCCTCTCAGATGAGCGTAGGCATTTCACTTTCACCCCGCAGATACTCTCGTCTGCAGTTTTTAATGAGGAGCACTGTCACCACATCTTTAGCAAAGGATTGTTGAAGAGTGATTGATTTACATTGTATTCTAATGTTCCTTACTATCCCTTCCCCTTCTTTCAGGCACTGTTGCTTTCATTGACATAAAGATATATTTGTGCTTGGAGTGATCTAATAGTATCTTTGTACTGAGATGAATTTTAGTTCAGCTTTGCACAATCTAATTGTATTGAGATGACTGAAAAAAAAATCCCGCGTTAATTTTCCACCCCCTCCTAAGGCATTTAACTCCTCTTTTATCCCTCCTTTGAGTTAGTGATCTACCAACTCTCACATTTCACCACTCAAGTTTAGAAACATGAGTCCCAACACTTATCTAAAAAGAAAAGGGAGTTTCCCTTATTGTTCTAGCCAATTCTCCTCCAGATTAATTGGTCATTTCAATAATTGTGAAAATGATTGTAACGTTTCCATGTTGTGTGGAAATTGGTTCCTGGGTCTGCCTATAAACACAAGATAACTACACATGGCAACAATTACCAGTGAAGCACTTTGAGACATTTCAATGGTTACCGATAGTCTAGTTGCCAGAGTTTGGAAACGATTCTTGCTGTTGGGACTCTTTTCTCGAAACTTGAATGGTGTAATGTGAGAGGTAGATCACTATCCCAAAGGAGGGTTAAAAAAGGAGTTAAATGCCTAAGGAGGGGTGGGGACAATTAGCAATGTTATATGGAGTCC